CAAAAATCGAGCTTACACAAACAAATAAATAAAAAACAATTTGAATTAAAACGAGGAAACGTGAAAATTCTACATAGACTGAAGATTTCATGACAATAGTTAATACAAAAGCTATAAGTACAGAATAATTAATCTTAATATTAGTTAGGTTAAGCTTTTAGAATAAACAAAAGTAAGTACAATTAATAACTATTTAGATGCACCGAATAGTATCGAATCCAAACATAAACAAGTGGCTTCCCGCGCGCTGTTTTTACAAACCGGCGCGCGCGTCCGTAGGATGTCTAACAAATAAATATGACACGATGTCACCTATCACTATGCTATACCAAACAAATTAAGTTGACACCATTGAGCTAAGTTATTTCAGGGCAAAACTCTGAAAATACACGTAGTTTTTCCCCTGAAACCCAATCAGTTTTCAGCTAACTGAAAAATCTGCTTTGTAAGCAATACATACATAGTTAGTCACGTCAATAATATATTGACATCATAGGTTGCTATTGTCATAGAAGTCGTGATAAAAACTTCAAAAAATGTCTGAAAAAATCTGCTGCCGTGAAAACCCTTATGAAAATAAAGAAATATTCTTTTTAGTTGGTTAATAGAACAAAGAATAGCGATTTATGCGAATAGAGTCGCACGCGCACTAATAGAGTTGTAGAGACGACGGCATATCAATGTAAACATTGTGGTACTTTATGTAGTTATTATAGAGGCAATTTTATAGTAAAAATTTATATAGATAGTCTAATGTGCTGCCGACACAAATCTCATTACCTACCTGTTACTTCGATAGTGAGTGTAGTGGAAGTTAATTAAATGAAAGAGTGGACTGTATACAATTAATTGTCTATTCGGTATAAATTAACAATGATATTGAGACCGTTTAGTGCAAAGTCGTTGAAGAGAGTGCGTCAGGATCGTCTTCTTCGATGTTCGCTCGCGAACCGAACATTGCTCGTTCGTTCGCCGAACGCTCGCCGCTCCCTCCGGTCACGCCGCCCGCGGGCAATGTCCGTGAGTAGACACTACCTTTCTTTTAAAAACATACAGCATTCCACAAAAATTTATTTTTATCATCGCGACTGCAAAACTCTAACATTATTTCAAGATAATAGGTATTAGTAAACATTTTTATCATTTGCACACGTGGTCACTCTAACAAATGTTTCAAATACTTATCAGTCTACCTACATTCGCTAATCTAATGGCCGAAACTATGATAGTTGCAAAAATATACCTATGTTTGCACGTGGCTTTAGATCTATGTCTAGGTCGTGCCTATTTGGTTCATACTATGATGGCTACATATGAGTTTCCTATACTTGGCAATATTATTTTGATTATTCTCTTATACAGTCAGCGTCAAATAGTTTGTGACACCTAAAATAGCCAAAAATTTCGCAACACGTTTTTGTTACAATTGGAATAAGGTTTGTCAACTTTTTGGCCACTTAATGTGTCACGAACTACTTGATGCTGACTATATCTAGTCGTTTGTTCTAAAATGAACTAAAAAAAATATTTCATACACAACGACTTCTAGCTTATCTACACAGGGACGAAGACCATCTTGATTTTAGGAAAAAAAAAAGGAGAGTGAGGCAAATACATAAATACAATTACGATAAAGTTATCAAGTTAATATACAGTAGACAAGCTATAAAAAACCTAATCTTATCCAATTTAAGATAAAAGCAGTATTTTCTAGTATCATATAAAATCTACGGGTATCAAATCTGAAATCGAAAAAGAAAAAAATATCGCAAAACTACAACTAAATTGAACATTTTTCTATACTTATCTAGGCCGATACAACAAAGCTAGTATTCTAACTTCACGTGCTAATCTGAAATAATTCGGCACACCTTATCTAATAATATTTTATATTCGCAATATCTTGCAACTTGATAACTACCAGCCCTGCCCTATGCTAGTGATGGCACACGACTCATATCTATCGATATGATAAAACTTTCTCCAACTATTTTTAAATTAAATCCACGATAACTGCAAAACTGAAACATAGCATGATAGCTTAAAATGTAATATTAATATTAGCATAATACGATTGTGTGAGTGTTATCTTTGCAAATGTACAAATTTATTAAACTATTTCCTTTCTCTTTACAATAGGTTTGTAGGTACTGGTTTTCCTCCATATAGCCATATTTTCAGACCTATTTTAGAGGAAAACCCAATACAGAAACAAATAGGACTTTCCCGTAAATGTAAAAATTCGATTAGATTATTTTACTAGAAATAATTTAGTAGAATTTCAGTTAAATAACATTTATTAAGGACTAACTCAATGTCCATTTTTAACGTGGTCTTTATTCATATACATAATGCGCCTACTATTTTTAAACTAATGTAGGTAAATCCCCTTTTTTTAATTAACCAAGTTGACAATTCAACAAAACGCCGAACGAAACACCATGATATTTGCTAGTTGGAAAAATAAACGCTTTCTGAAAGCAAAAGCTGACTAGAAGACAAGGCTATATTGCATTAAGCGCGCCTTTAGTACTCTGATATATCGCGTCTAATAAAGTTTAAAACAAAACATATTTCTGAGCAACAAAACTATCGACTCGATAAAACCCGGCTGCAGTTGCACATCCCTCCGCTGCACCGCTTATCACCGGCTTCAAGCGCTTTAATATTTGGCATACTTACATATTTGCTTGCGCTCACAAACGCGCTTTTTTGACTTTTTCAATCATGTTTCATGTTTTTCATACAACTTTTCACAAATCTTGTAAACTAACGTCCCTATTCACAGACATTACTATGAGGTCTCACAGTGCGCGTGGACGAACAGGATGACACACGAACCAATCAGAGCTCTAGTCAACGCTGTGCGTTCGATTTTCTGCTTCACTTAAGTAAGCATCGTTTGTGAATACGGGGTTAAAGTTCTATGTCCTTTTGGGATGCTGGTAGTGTGAAATATGAACTTCTTCTTTTTGATGATGATGATTAATGTAATGAAAATTCAAGGGTTTACAAACTACCAAATTTCATCACGTTAAGGCTATGAATCTTGCATTTCATTAGTTTTTCTAACAAAGAACACTTTTACTCATACAATAAACAGAGTCATGTGCAGAGTGAACGCCCGGGTCAAAAACCGCATAGAAAAACATCAGGAAGAAATAAGAATCCTTATCTACGAGTGTTATGCATTTTATATAATATACTACTAAGTACGTACAGTTCAATAAACTACATTAGATTGCGTTAAGCGAGCCCTATTTTTAAATGTTTTCTCGAGGCGACTGTGGCTCGGTGGTGTCAGCGCGTTGAACTTGGTATTAAAGGTTAAGCATCCCTTGGTTTGGTCAGCTTGTGGATGGGTGACCATGTGGATTTGAGAAATTAAAGGAACTTACAAAAAAAGTGTAATTAAGTTATAGAATAATTAAAGTAGAAATCATTAAAGTATTTTCATTGATTAAATAAGTTATGAAATTAATGAGAAGAGCTTACTTAAAAGCTAATTACACGTGTTACAATTTATTAAGTTGTTAAGTAACTAAAATTCAACTTAATTTTAAGTATTTAATTACCATGTAACCACAAAAGTTAGTAAGCATGCAATTCACAACTTAATACGTCGTGTGTAAATAAGCCTTTACTTTGGAAATCAAAAATACATAAAAATGGAATCTTCTAAGATTATTAATGAGATAATAATTTTAATACTATTTATACAGTAACATATTTTGGACAGATCATATCATAAGTCAATTGATTGATGCGTGATGATAACGTAATTATGTGTCGTGTCTAATTCGAGTTCATACGTTCAAATAATCTCATACAAAAGGCTGTCTCTATTCACATATACGCACCTACAAAAGATAGATCTTTATTCGCATATAATATGAACCACTTAGCAACAAGAAGGAGGTTTGAAATCATAACACCCTTAGATTTAACCCAAAACACACTAAAACAATGCGAGGCCCATTCATGTTCGTTACATACGTCCCATATATGTCACCACTACAACTCCGAGCGCCTCGCTATTGGTCGAACTTTCACTCTCAAACGAGCCTACATAGTTGGAATTCCTGAAGCGGCGCTGCTATTGGTCGAGCCACGTATGACCTTTGCCCCGATTGGTCAGGTCACTCGCTATATGTTTACGGAAATAATGTTTTTACATATAACGTAGTTTCCCGTAGTACGGTTAGGTACTTCGCGAATGTAGGCCGATCGCAAGCGAAGTTACGGGCTTTATTCACGTCAAGTAACACACAGGTTTCTCAGTAACTTAATGATAAATAGTAACTACGTAATTTAGCCTTCATTTGATTGCCATTAGTATCCATTTTTACGTTTATAATGCTAATTACAAATATCATGAAATTTCAGTTGAAAAATTCGACTTTTTCATGAATATGAACCCAATTTAATCAACATTATGGGTATTTTTGTATATTTCAAAGGTTATAAGTGCAATATAATAAACACTAAAAATAGTCAAAATCTCAGAATGCTTATTAAATTAACCACCGACCTAAGAAGATGAAAATTAACAACATAGGTTCTTTCAGATTATCGTTCATTCGGTTGTTTCATCCAAATGACGTCCCAGTTGGACCCAGAATTTCCACAAAAAATACAATTTATTCGGTCTTAACGCTCTGAAGCAATCTCTTCCAGACAACGTTTAGAATAATCAAAAGGGGAAGGCAATTGATATTGGTATAAGATGTTACTGAAAATCGAACTCGAGACCATAACACAAAACTTCGCACTAGAATCCCATCCAGGTTTCAAACTGTAATAATAATTTCTAGTTTGTCAGTCTGTGCGTCAAGTGTTTCCCCTAATTAATCGTACTTCCGTACTTCCTCGTAGAAATAACATTGTTTCCCTGTGATTATGAAAATAAGCCTATTAATAAGTTTTTGGTAATTAAATTAAGCAGGAAATTTCACTTCAATTAAGCAGGATATAATACTAAAATAATATTATCATTTCAGATCACACAAAAGGGGAACGATAAGCAGACCGTAGATATTGCCAAGGTACGTACCTACTACACAAAATATTATTAATAATAAGTCATTTATTTCAACATACAGACATAAGATACAATTAATAATTAGGTATAATAATTAAAATAGAAACAATAAAAATGGGTATAACCCTATCTCTCATTGCAACATTAAATAAAATAAGTGATATTAGCTGTGAAACTCAGTAATTGGCTAGAGTTATGTAATAAAGTATTAAACTACTCTGTAACATGTAAATTGTCAACAAAGTTGTCGAGTTTACAAATAATTAAAAAAGAGTGACGTGAGAAAAGAAAATGAGATTGCAAGAACTTGAGCTATGTCTCAGAATTATCATAGATCATAGAAATAAATCAAAAGGTTTTAAATATAAACATATTATTATATTTTTCACTAAGAATTGTGCAACGACTCGCCTGTCGAAGTAAACTGCCCTGAAAGTAGATGGCGCTGAAGCATACCGTTACGGGCATGAGAGACGTATGTTCATCATGTCATAAAAAATAGTTTTTGGTAATTTAATTAGGCCAAAATAAGTACTGGAACGTGTAAAAGTGCTCTATTTGCAAAAATAAAATGAGTTTTGTGAGTGTTACTATTATTTTTAGTTCATTACCAACAATGTATGAATGGAAAGAGCCTGGATGCGGGCAGCGCAGGACCGTGCATTGTGGAGGCCTTTGTCCAGCAGTGGACGTCATTTGGCTGAAACGAACGAACGAACGAACCAACAATGTACTTGATTCTTGAGGTCAACTTCTGATGTCACTTACAGCGAGCTTATTGTTATATAAACATAAAACAAACTAAGATTAAGATTTAGGCAAATACATTCGCAAATACTGTAAGGTCACCTACAAACCTCACGCGTCTAGTTCGTAGATCATTATAATAACAAAACCATTAAAAATCGCTAACGAACAGCGATAGCCAGGTCGCACTGATAGCCTGACACTAAGTTGAGTAAGTCTAATTTTTAGACTTTTGAGATAATACTGAACACACGGGCGCCTATCGGCAAAATCCAGCTGCACTCTATCGTGTTTATGCACCCGAATTGCGAGATATTTGCTCGGAAATTTTATCGATATCGTTATGTAATATGTAAACTATATTATCTGCTTGTTGCTGAAAATCAGTTTTTTTCTAAATAACCTTTAGCCAATTAACCTACTTAGCAACAAGATTCCTATTTTTTTTTTCTATCCACAACGAGGAAGCTCTTGGCCTGTATCTCACCTGATGGTAAGTGATGATCAGGCCGAAGGTGAAAGCGAGCTTCACCTGGAATCCTCAACGGAGGAACTAAATTAATTAGAATTCAACTATGATTTTTATTTTTCAAAAAATCATTTACCAGTAACTTAAGCATTAAAGAACCTCCCTAAACCTGGAGGTAGACTCCAAACCAGGATTTCCCCATTGAAGGAGAAGAAGACAGTCAGTCACAGTGTACCCATTACCAAATAGAATAATCCAAAGACCTGAAATGGCTGTAATCTTTCAGCCAGGAATTTTTAGGATCTCCTTAACAAGCTGAACGAACTTGCAGGTGGGAAATATACTGATGAATATACCAGTATGATGTTTATTGCCATGTTTTCTGTTTCCATCAGATGGAAGAACAAGTGACGTGAAGTAGCGTCACTAAAAAACTTTCCGAGTAACTGAAATTCTACTTTTACTGTTTAGTTTGCTAGCAATATGAGAAAAAGAAGACTATGTTAAGAATCAAAATCAAATCTCAAACTGAGATTGGTTAATTGTCTGTTTGGACCAATTAATTAGGTTTGAATGAATCAATTTTCAGTATTGAATACTTACTACTCTTTTTTCATAGTCACTTTTCCTATATCATAGGCCCAAGTGCCTAACTCCCAAAGTGAAAGAAAAAAAATAAAAAAAATACATTCGCTACTCTATTGTATTTTATAATTATTATCTGAGGCATGAAGCAATAATACCTACCAACAATTTGATTAATAACTTCCACGTCATTGAAACTACTGATATAAATAATGCACTACTTAATTTGCAATATATGACATACTTTAAAACTACATGATATAGATCACGTAGGTTCTAGACTAGCCTATTATGCGAATCAACTAAATTAGTAGACAGTAGACACTTATGACTTAGACTAACGAACGTATTCACAAACCTCTATGACATTAGTTCCCAAACTTATTTGAGACGCGCCCCCTTTCGACCATACAAAAATTCCGTCCGTCCGGTAGTCAGCTATTACAATAATTATGATAACACGCACTTATTGCGTGTCATTTAAGCAATTTATAATTACTGTATTTTATTGAAAAAGAGGCTGGTGACTGAGTTTCTTCCGCCACTTCTTCTCAGCACCAGCCCATATGTTGTCCCGAAGTGGTGGTAGGGCAAGCTATATTTGGGACGTGTATAAGTGTCCTAGTAAGGGCCTATGTACTGAATAAACTATTTGAATTTGAAATATCCAACACAGATTTCGAAAGACAGCGGTCCATGAAGTTCTAATTTCGAACTCCTCCTATGTTCTTCTGATTAATTTCGTTGCGGGTCCAATGACAGTTTTACTTTCCCCCGGGACTAACTTGACCTTCATTGGTTGGGTTTTTATGGCGGTCAAGTTGTAGATCCTGGCTACACAGGAGTTGCAGTGGTGGGAACGAGAGGTGGGAATAGTCCCGGACCATGAAGTTCTGTATTTAAAGACTCCATTATTATTTTGAATAATTGACACAATTTACTTTTGCAAATTCTGCGAGTGACTTGTTGCGCAGAAACAAGCACTTGGCCATGAGATCATTATTAATACAATTGCGTTTTATGTCTTCATTACATATTATTATATCCAAATATTCAATGTGTACTCAGTCACTTTCGCAAGGTGTGTTCCGGATGCTTTCTGTTTGGTAGAGAGAGCATAATCTCTAAATGTAGGTTGCTCTACATTTTGCACTTTTAGTTCTTTTTACAATCTAAGCTATATAAGGTATAAAAAGGACAATGTCCACCTGTCATTCTCGCATAGCATAGCATGAATGTGTAGCTAACCCTCATAAAGTTAGCAAGAAGGCGCTGGATGCAGGCTGCTACCAACCGGGTGATGTGGAAATCATTGTAGGAGGCATACCTATGTTCAACAGTGTACCTCCTGTGGCTATAATAGCTAAACCCCCAATTTTAATAAAAATGGTCCAGCAGCAATAAAAGATAGATAAAAAGATGAGTAATCTATCTATTTGGCTAGTCATTCCAGAGATAGCTAACATTCATAAAATGTTATCATTTATTGCTTGTGTAATAAAAAAGAGAGCAGTTTTTGTAAGTTTCATTTATGTCAGGTAATTTCCGGAACTACATCACCAATTTGAATAATTCCTTTACCATTTCACAAGGTAACATGGTTCCGAATGCTTCTAGCTAGAGGTCATCATCATTTCAAGACTTCCACAGCTGAACATAGGCCTCCACAAATGATTTTCCACATTGCCCGTTTGGTAGCGGCCTGCATCCAGCGCCTTCCTACTACTTCTTGGAGGTCATATTATATTCGTTTGATCGTTTCAGCCAAATGACGTCCACTGCTGGACAAAGGTTTTCCCCAAAGATTTAAAAACGACCGGTCCTGCGCTGCCCGCATCCAGGTTCTTCCAGCGATCTTCACCAGATCGTCGGTTCACCTAGTAGGAGGCCTGTCCACGGTACGTCTTCAGGCCCGTGGTCGCCACTCGAGAACTTTTCTGCCTTAACGGCCATCAGCTCTACTAGTACAAGTGAACGAATCCAAGGGGACAAGTTGGTAGATTTTACGAAAAAATCTCAAAAAACCGTCAAATATTGGGACCCAAAAATTGTCACAGACATGATTGATTATTTCATTACTCCACACTAGGTTTCAGCGATAAGATAACTGGCCTAGGACTCTGATAAAAATAAATGACTAAAAAACGCGATAACTGTATCACAATGTCATAGCCTGGAGTGTATCTAATATTTGTTATTTTAAATCCTACTTAGACCCGATATGGGCGCGTATTTAAAATGATAAAATATACGGTTCACTAATGAACGTGTATTTTTCTTCTAAAATTAACTGTATGAGTATTGAGTACATCGCTATTTATTTAAAGTTAGGGGAATATTCTTCAAAAATAACTGCAAATCCTTACTTATACAATATTCAACTTTCAGATCAAATTAAATATAAAACAAAAAAAAATATTTTCCTCATTTTAAGTTTTCATGAAAACTTAACACACACGTCATCCACCTATTCTATTTTGTCTATGGACGACTAGTCAATGGCACCCTTGTCTATGGCGCGAATAAAACCATTACACGTGAGCCGCAGAACAAATCCCCACGAGTGTTCAGTTCGTGAAAAGCACCGTGTCGTATGGCCCAAGTTCTAAACTGTTTCGTCGAAATATTCTTTTTTGATATTTTATGTTCCTTATTAGAGAAAAGTATTAGGTTGGTAATAAAATATGCGGCTTATTTCATTTCTTAAAATAGTAATTACGTAAAGAACATTCTTTATAACCATAACAATCATCAGTGCGATTGAGATGCACTGCTTTATTGAACGACTTTCAATGAAAATCGATCGTTTGAAAGGTAAGTGCTTGCTTACTAAACACTTCGTAATAAAACGAATGCACGCCTACCCCATTAATGACATCGAGTCCAATTTTCGGACACTCTGGTTCTTTGCAACGCAGAGTATACTCTTTTTACGTAGGTTACTCTTTTTTACCTCCCCAACCGACCTGACCAGCGTGGAGAGTGTGTACCAAATTCTCCATCATCATCGTCATCATCATTTCAGCCACAGGACGTCCACTGCTGAACATAGGCCTTCCCCAATGACTTCCGCGTCGCACGGTTGGTAGCGGCCTGCATCCAGCGCCTTCCTGCTACCTTTATCAGGTCGTCGGTCCACCTTGTGGGTGGACGTCCCACGCTGCGTTTTCCGGTACGCGGACTCCACTCCAGAACCTTGCTGTCCCATCGGCCGTCAGTTCTGAGTACTATGTGCCCTGCCCATTGCTACTTCAGCTTGCTAATCCGTCGGGCTATGTCAGCGACTTCAGTTCGTTTACGGATCTCCTCATTTCTGATTCGATCTCGTAAAGAAACACCGAGCATAGCCCTCTCCATAGCACGCTGCGCAAATTCTCCATATGCCTTATGGCCAATTAAAGAGGGTCATCCTCCTACAGCGGAGACTAAATGAGCTGATGATGATAATTACTATTTATTTATGTATGAAGCGCGAATTTTCCTATCCACCAATTGTTGTTTTAATACATTATCGCGTAACCAAGACATACGTCGGCCTTAAAAAGATCTAGCTAGCCAAAATCGATATCCTTGGACTGCACAGCTGTGCAAACGGTCTAATACGTGCAAAATGGCCGCTTTGCACGTTTCAATTACAACATTTATCTGTGTCGTCGGTTCTAAAGATTTTTTTACCATTTAACGCCTCGCTATTGGCGACACCCAACCCTTTGTCTATGGACCCTTAATCTATGGTCTGTATCTCTATGGACTCCACGGTTATGTAAAGTTTAACAGTCAATTTTGGGAGCTAGTTTGCTCGAAACAAAATGTAGGTTTTAGAATTCATGTTTTATTTACACTTTTTTTATAATTCATGGAATAGGCTCTAACACGAGTGCGTTCACTTGTGTAAATATCTTTTGTTATGTGTTAGAAATGCGCAAAATCTAGTATACATAGAGAGCTCATAGCAGAAGCATATCCACGCTTCTAACTTATATTCGTATCAATTCAGTTGTTTAAAAATACAAAACACGAAAGGTAATGGACTTTTTTGGTTATCGTGGTCAGTTGTTTTTTATTGTGAAAGATTTTCGGAATGTTGCCAGTGTCATAATCTACAATTATGTATTCCCCTTTAACCATACTTGGTTTCTAATAGGGTAAGATATTTTTGTATGTTTTGTGATTTGCTTGACGCCAGGCTTGGTTATTTTAAGATTTAAGGTGTTTGAATACTGTAATAGAATCGTATTCAATGCTATTTTTGGTAACTGAAATGATCTATTTATATCGATTACTTAGGATAAGTAGAGTTCGCGAATTTATATTTTATAACCCATATTTAACATATCCACTACAGTCAACTTGTCACCGTATATAGGACGCGAATGCGTGTTGAATGGCATTTTATCTTGAGTGAAAAAGATAAAATTATATAATATATGCAGGTTTTATCTAGCGCTATTTGTACATGCGAAATTTGGCGATACAACGAATATTTTTATCTTTGATAACAATTTAGAAACTATGATTAGTTGGTATTAGTTGCATTATCAGTGCAGGCGCTTCGTGCATGTGTGATAACCGATTTTGTACGTTTTTGGAAATTATTTATTCAACGTTTGGAAATTGATGCGTTAGTATGGATTGAACGACGTTAACCACCGTGGTGAGTTTAATTTCATTAATAGATTACATGTACATATAGATAAACCCTTATCATATTAGATGTAAATCTGCATTGCTTAGCTACTGAGACAGTTCTTAAAGTTGTGTAAAAAAAAGAAAAACTGTAACCTGCCTTGAATTTTCTTTTTTGTTCGGAATAAAAGTTACTTTTTTCTCTGTGGCTTGCATAAGGGTAGCCAGTGCCATTATTTAAAAAAAGTTGCAAAACTTCTCACGAGTATAGCCTGACCAGGAACATAAAAACCCTCGCCATGTTGCGGAAAACTAATGGTACTAATTTCTTTTAACGGCAACAGTATAGTTCCAAAATAGTGAACTGTCCTATCGATGACATTGACAGTGGGGCGCCACCGTCAATACCAGATCGCTGGTTCCGATTTTTGCCATGTTGGAAACCATATAGTTGAACGATAGTAGCGCCCCCCTGTCATTGAGTTTGGTGGGACAGTTCAGCGTGGGTCATCTATAACTGAAAACTTCATTGACATGTCACCTTGCATGTCAGTCTATTGCTGTCAAAGTGTAAACAAACTTTATTTTAAATGTGCGCAATTGNTTTGTCATCGCTAAGAAATAAACACTTTTTTACTTTTTATTTCAGATTCTGTCTCTTACCGAGATTTGTATTTCAACGAAATTTCTATAACTCATTACATGACGTATACCAGTAGAAAAATACATACCTGTAAGTCAAAGCGTTAGCTCTCGAAGCAGCCAAGGTCTCCTCGTCCGAAGCGTCAGCTCGACAGGTGCTGTGAGGAGTCAGAGGCAGGTTGAGGATCAGGCCCTCGCACTCTAGTAACGCCTCCTCGCTGCTGGAGAAGGATGACCAGAACTCGGAGTTGCTCATGTCGTAAGGTGTGGTCTCGTTGAGTTGCTCATGGTGTAATGCTTCGCCGTCTGGGTTCAAACCCTGGAGTGCAAAATCTTTATTAGTATGTAGGCCCCCTCAGGGCACTTCAATAAGTCCCAAATATAGCTTGCCCTTTAAAAGATGTCTCAGGAAACTCAACCTTTGTCAGTATAAGCTATTAATGAGGGTTTTCGCGATTGAAAAATCCACCAGATGGCAATACGTAGACGCGAGGACCAAATGCTGCATGATTGGTTATTTTTGACGTGACATTGACAGATATGTCAAAATCCACCAATCATGCAGCATTTGGACCTCCCGTCTACGTATTGCCATCTGGATTTTTCAATCGCGAAAACCCTCATTGCAGGAAGTTCATTTTTTAAATAACCTAGTGTTTGTATTACAAAGTAATGTAAGTGTAAGTAGATGATTCATCATCATCATAAGAGCCATAGGACGTTCACTGCTGAACATACGCCTCTCCCATTGATTTCCATAATGATCGGTTGGTAGCACTAGCAGCCTGCATTTAGCGCCTTCCTGCTACCTTTATGAGGTCTGTGAAGATGATTAGGCGATAGTAAACCCAAATAAGTAGGTGCGACCTAGGCAGGTAGTCTCTGGCGCTGGATGCAAGCTGCTACCGATCGGGCGATGTGTAAATCATTGAGGGAGGCCTATGTTCAGCAGTGGACATCCTGTGGCTGAAATTATGATGATGATGATGACTAACCTCTTCTGCAGCATAGTCCCTGGCCTCGTCATCTTCATTCAGCTCCTTCTTCAGGTCCACCTGACCCAGCATCAGTTCTCTCTTCGCTCTCGCTTCTTCCCTTGCGTCGCGACGTTTTTCTAAAGTAACAGAAGCAACATTTATAATTAGGCGCTTAAGCGCTAGATCTATAAGAATTCAAAGTCATTTACTTCAAAAATATCTTCAACAGATGACTTATGCCCGTTTTCACCATCAATCCCTATTTTTAAGTGACTCCAAAGTCAAAGTCAAAAGTCAAAAATTTCTTTATTTGTTTGGACTAATAAATAGTTCTTACAAATCTCCTATAGTGTTACCATAACAGGCATTTTGTTTTTATAGGGGTCATGAAAACGGGCATTAGACTCGTATTCCTTGCCAAGACTAAGACATCAGACATTATGCTATCCGTGCCAGAAAATTGATCTAACATCATTAACCCTTCAAGTACGATAAGTACCAGCGAATCGAGACACAATAGAAATCAATTGTTATCGCGATCTCATGGTCTTAAGTCAACCAGCTAAAATAAAGACTGACAAAATTAAATAATGTAGCTATCTGCTGCAAGATAAAGTTCTTTCGAAAATCAAAGGATGATGGGCACTTTTCTATGGAATCTGGGCGTAAAACCAACAGAAATGTAACTAATATTATTTGTTAGGACTTAATGTCAGAAATATATTTTCATATAAATAACTACCAAAAACTCCCGGGTTTGCTTGGAAATTGACATAATGTGTAATAGTAATAGGTGCTTTATTGCGCAAACAAAAAATATTATTAATTAATATACTTATCTAATACTTACATTTTAGATACATTAAGTTATTTATCCATTATTATGTCCAACAGTTCAGGAGTGGGGCCAACAAATGGTATATTTAAACCATGTTCTAGGTACATTATAAGCGTAGGACCATACCTAGGTACCATTTAGAGAAATAACATGAACACAGTCATGTTTCAATGGGATTTCTACCAGTTAAGTTTTAGTGTTGTCGCATAATCGATCACGGATCGATTATTAATCGATATTGCCAAATAACGATTTATCGATTAACAATTCGATTAATCGATTTGATTACCATCATCACTGTCATTTGATTGTGAATTCAATTCCTTATTTTCAGCAATATAATCGATTATTGCAATCGAATAATCGATTATGATTTATTCGGTATACATACTTACTAAATCGATAGCAAGATATTATACAATACTCTCAATATGATCGATAAAAGCAATATAATTGACCTAATACTATTTTTATTACCCTAATGTGATGTGAAATACTATGGAAACTTTGCATATTCAACGACCTCTATCTCCGTATCCCCGCGTATTTCAGGATTGTTGTCATACTATGAAATGAAGTACTAGTATTAAGCTTTAATTTAGTATACTTTTTGTCTCTGTTGGTTTAACGCCCAATATGCCCATCATCCTTTAAATACGCCTACATAACTTTGTATTTACTTCCGAACTGCAAGAACCATTAAACGTTGACTTTGTGCTAGCCTAGCCTACTTGTGCAACGTTAGCAAACATAGTATTTAAGTGCCACTAGTACAAGTGCGACCACAGTAAGCAGGGACAGTAGCACATTTTTACCCGACTGCACCAGAAGGGGTTATGTTTTTCGAGCGTATGTATGTATGTATATTTCCTTGGCACGGCCTACAACTAAACGGCTTGACCGATTTTAGTGTGAGAGGTGTCGTTAGATTCGTCTTAATCGTGAGAGTGACACTGGCTATATTAAAATTGAAAAAAAAAAAACAAAATGGCGGATTTTAGGTGCCATAATGCCTTAAAAAAAAGGATGATTCCGGGCTTCAAAGAATCATCAGACGTATATGAGACCATGAAGTTAGTATCTGATGGTTCAGAACGTCTGATACCAGGATTTTGACACCATAACAACAGAAAAAGGTCCTATGCCAGTATGGGACCTAAAACTAGCTTTATTATGGGTGCACGCACACATGTGCGTTTACATGAACGTTTACGCCAACTCAATAGAACTCTTTACTCTTCCATTTTACTATGACTTTGCTAAAGACAAGTACATTACTAGAGTACACTCTAGCATGTTGAATTGCTGTCAAAGTGGTAGTGTCACCTTCGGGGTCAATACTCAATCATCAAACAAATATTTCTTGCAACAATGAACATAAAATCACAACCACATCTCTTTCCCACCGCTGCAACTCCTATGTAGCCAGTATCTACAACCTTAAAAACTATACATTATTTTGTAAACTTACGCTGCCTCTGTGCTCTGGTCTTCTCTTCATCAATAGCACTTGTTGCAGCCTGTCCAATAAATTATCGCTTGCAAAAATGAACTTAAAAACTTCAAAACATTATGGGCTAATTCGGTAAACTTACGCTGTTCCAGCCCTGGCCTTCTCTTCATCAATGCCTTCCACTAGCACTTGTTGCAGCCTGTCCAATCAATTTGTCGCTTGGAAAATGAACTTAAAAAGTATTAACACTATGAGCTATTTTAGTAAACTTACGCTGCCTCTGAGCCCTGGTCTTCTCTTCATCAATAGCTTCCACAAGGACTTGTCGCAGCCTGTCCAGCTCCTCATCGTTGCCGTTCACTGCTGACATTATGCCCTCGTTAGTTTCGGCGGATATCTGAAGCAAATAACTCAATTAATGCCTTATTTCTTAAAACAACGCATCAGAAGTCATTAACTTTTTTGCTACGGGACTATTCCCTCCTCTCCCACCGCTGCAACTCCTGTGTAGCCAGGATCTAACAGCTTAACCGCCAATAAAAACCCAACCAGTAAAGGTCAAGTAAGTCCCGGGGAAAGTTAAACTGTCATTGGACCCGCAACGAAATTAATCAGAAGAACATAGGAGTTCGAAGTTAAGGTTCGACTTCCCTTCATTTTCTCCTCTGTCGCCCATATTAACAAACGATGCTTGCTTAAGTGAAGCAACAAATCGAACGCACAGCGTTGAATATAGCTCTGTGATTGGGTGACAGCCTGTGCGTCCACGCGCACTGTGAGACCTCATAGTAATGTTTGTAAATACGGGCGTTTCTCTATTATTAAAATGTATCCCATCAAAAACAATACTTGTCAAAAAAACAAGTCTCGCAACTCAGTTGTTCTACGGTAAAAAGTTGTGAGATCCATGTAATACCAAGTCCAGGCCAGGAAATCTTTAACGTTTTACATAAACAACTGAGTTGCGAGACTTGTTTTTTTTGACAAGTATTGTTTTTGATGGGATCTCATTTCTTTTTGTATTTTGTAGACAGCAGTTATGTATCTAGAAAACTGGACCGAAATTTAAAAATTTTACTGGACTTGGCGGTTGCACTTCCGTGCCCCCAAATATTTTAGTTTTT